TTCAACGAGCTTTGACAAGGCTTGATGAGGTGCTTTGGTGTACGACAGTGTACACGACTAATGTTCATTCATACCATAATTATAACATTCATCTTCGGAATATTGACTTTATCTATTTTCATTCTTTTCTTTTTCTTTTTCATAGTTATCCACTTCGATGGTAAGATGTAATATTATAGTCATCACAATTATAATGATAATTATTTTGACAACATCCATGGCTATGACTACATCGTCATCCATGTCTAAAATTATTATAAATTGTCACATTCACTTCGGGGAATGGAATAGATCCAATTGGATGAGATTTATTCTTTTTCATCAATAGCTTTTCATTTTATTTAGCCATGAGCAAATATGAAATTGATTCATAATATTTCTTAAACTCTTTTTCTTGATATGCTACTGCGAAGCATATTCAAGGCATGAAAAGTAGATGATCTTGATATACTACTGCAGGAGCATATTCGAGGCATGAAAAGTAGATGATATTAACTTAGCATCAAGCACTCATGATCAATAATTCTTGCCCAAAATGTCAAGGGTCACAAAATCAAGTTTTGTGATGGTTGATAAGATATCATTAAAATTGTATAATGCAAAATATAATAATAATGTTAGGAAATAAAGATAAAATATAATAATAAAATTTAAATAAAAATAAAAATAATAATAAAATTTGAACTTTTCAAATAATATATATTAAATTATTGCATTTTATCTATTAAATTATTAAAAATTTTCAAATATATATTCTATATATCATTAAATTTAAAATACATAATAAATTAGATACATACCTCTTAATGATCTAAATAATAATTTAGATCCAATCAATAGAGCACTCGTGCAAAAGAAATCCAATGGTTGAAACAATTGATTAAGTGTTTTGATAGATACATATCTCATGGTCTATTATCTCGATTGGCTAGAACTTCGTGCGATAACGTGTTATAAAATAAATAGAAATAATAGGAGAATTGAAGAAAAGGATGACAAGAAAATGAAATCACTATAATATGAATATAAGTGATAAGAACTTCAAAGTTTCTCTTATTCTCTCTAGGAAACTTGTACACTAACTAATGAACAATCAAGCCTATTTATAGGCTTCAAAATTGAGGAGAGAATTAGAAGGGACTATGAATGATCAATTGTATCACCCTTTTAATTTCTCATATTGAATGATGAATTGAATCATATTAAGAACCATGAGTAGTAGGGATATAAAAAGTGGATGAACATGATGATGGACATTCATTATTTCATAACAATATATATATATATATATATATATATATAACACACTTGATTGCAAAAAGCTATAGTTAAGAGAGAGGGTGTGGACTTCGGATAGAAGTTCTTCCCTCACCTAATCTACCAAAAAGACTATTTTTCATTACTGTGTAAGGCAGGCAGGCAGGGAATAGGACTTATAAGATGTCGGTACGTCTTGAGGTTATACACGACTATTGTGGGATTGATCAAGAAATTCATATTGACAGGTCCATCAATGCATAAGCCAGTGGATTGACCCGTCAAGTTCACTGATTTACAAACACTGTTGTCAATATTTTAGTATATTTGTCATGTTAGCAAACTTATGAACATACATCCACCATATGTTCCATGACAATATTGTTGTTGGAGCCGCAGGATAAGCTCTGATCATAGTTATTGTTTTCATTAAAGACAAATTGTCCTTTACGATTGAAACAGGAGACATTTAAGCATTAACCAAACAGCACTATTGAACAGAGGGAAAAAGCTTTAAGCAAAATTAGAACAATATCAAGCTAGTATTCTTGGTAGAAGGAAAAGGTAAAAGTTTTTTTTTATTATTATTATTTTAAGCAAACAGTAACCTAAGACAAAAAAAAAAAAAACTGCATGCGATGAGGAGGTCACAGAATTAAAAGTTTCAGATTAACAAAACATGCATGCTGTGTAACAGTGCAAAAAGCAGGAGAACCCAGAAAAAGGTTGATGATAAGAAACAAGTACAAAGAAGGGCGTGGGCGCATATGCCAAGGACACAACATCTTTTGAACAACTTTTATATATGGAGAGATAATTAAAGAGTGCACAAAACGTAGCTGTAGCCTGTACAGAGAGAGAGAGAGAGAGAGAGAGAGTAGTACGTACACTGAACCTCATCTTTCAACTTTTCTGTGCCTTGTTTGTATGTGTTATTTGGAATCTTTTCGGTCATAAATTTCCCTTTTTTTTTTTTTCGAAACATTTATTAATGGGTTTCAAAAATTTCAACTAAAAAACAGTGAAGGAGAAGAGAATCCCACCTCATGCATTTAATGCAGAAAGTTACTTCTTCGATGGTTGTATGTGTGTTCGTCCAATATCACGCAGCTCCCGGGATTGCCGCCGAATTTTCGTTAAAGACTTGGAATTCAGGTTGGATATGTAGCAAATTAAGTATGGGAAAATCAACTTCTTTTAACCCATTTTTATGACGCAAAATTTTGAGCGACGTTATGGTGTTGTAGAGGAGACGGAAAACAATCATGGCATGAAAAAGAAGAAGAAAAAAAGGTATAAAACTTTATAGTTAGTGGAAAATTTATTTTCTTTGAATGTATTATATTTAAATACATATATTTTTAAAAATAGTTCGAAGAACTAATTTAATTTTGATTATTATATAAATTGATTCGATAATGTTTTTTACGTAGAATTGAAAAAAAAAAACAGTGAATGCTAGGGACGAGTGAAATACTGGTTGAAAGATGATATTTATAAATACTAAAGCTGAAGTTCTGTAATTTTTTAAAGGTAGAATGTTAGGGAACATAATTACTTTCATTTTGTTTTATTTTTACCATATTAGTAAAGATTCTAAAAGTTGCCCGTAGCAATCTGTACATGGTTGGGAAGGACAGTGACACAATCAAAGGCAGTGTGTCCGCATTCAGACTGCAATATTTGGAAGAACATGGATCTGAGGTCACATACATAGTGTTAAATATACTTGTGAAAAGAAGAACAAAAGAAGATTTCCTTTCACATTATTGTACCAATCAAGAAAAATTTTGTTATGTCTACTTTACATCAAGTCGTTCTAGTTAAGAGGTATTTGGTATGGGAATCCGATGCGTATTGGAAGGAGACAAAATTTTCTATGACGTTGTAGGATCCATAATTGCAGTTTTCATTTATCAATGTAATGATGTCCTGTGAATGGTCTATTGACTCGTTTATTCTTTGAAGCTCTACCTCTACTATGAGTTGCCTAGAAATAACAATATTAGGAAAGAAAAATTGGTGTCTAATCAATCTATAATTTGTTGTAATTACTGTAATATATGCTTGTAAGAAATGATATGCTGATGCCCACTTGAATCAGGATACTTGCATTAGGCGAGTGTGAGTCTAAAAGGCCGGCATCCATAATAGATAGTTTTAAATAACTATCGTTACGTTATATAATAATTTTAAAGTATTTCGTTATTGTTATTTTAATATTATAATAAGTTACGATCCGTAATGATGACCACGATCGTTTTTTTATCCGTCTATTATTTAAAATTATGATACTAGTAACTCGACATTTAGTTGTGCCCTATCTTCAAGATTCAAATTAAAGATAGATGCCTGTCTCAAAAATCTTTTTGTTTCTAAATATTAAGATACAAGAAAGTTAAAGAACTTGCATCCTGAATTTCATGACACGCATTTAAATTAGGTTGATCTTTGTAGCACTTGAAGAGTCATGCTTCTAAATTGAGTAAAGCATTTTGAATTTCTCTAGATAACTACAAGATGGGATTACTGAGAATTAAAGGAGGGAATCAACAGAAGGAATAAATAAAGGAAGATAAAATGATTGCACCGCAATGAATTATTTGTTATCTTGCTAACTCTCTAAAGATCAAGACAATAACCTGGCGAGTCAAAACCTTTCAAGTCGCAAAACTTATGAATATCAAAGAGAATGAAAACATGACCCAACAAGAGGAAGAACATCCCTAGGTTTTGGGCACCCATTCATCCACAGGAAGAGCCATTTCATCTTCAGCTTTCGAGCATCTTTTTGAGTTTTCAACATGCAAATGATGGATTTTCACCATCCAAAACATGAGCTTTCTCTCCCCCTCCCGTCTCCTCCTCTCCCCTATGCCTGGCGCGGCCCCCCCCCCCCCCCCCCCCAAGAAATTTGCCATGTTTTATCAGTACATAAACACAAACCGTACCAAGTTTAATTGCAACATTTAATGACACCATTTTACATGCTGAAATCATTAAAATAGGATCATAAATATGATTCATGATATGAAAGACCCAGTAAAAATATAGCAGAACAAAAGGCAACTATCAATAGCATGTGAAAGATGATCATGATATAAACTAGCACGAGAGCAACAACCTCACAAATTTGGCTCTACAAGAACTAAATCAAAAGAGAGAAATGGACACCAGCTAACAAATAGTCGAAAAATTTTATGTAGCACCCCCAATTATTACAAGGCTGTGTATTCTTCTCAGCGTCTTTGATTTTGCAAAATTACCGATCCCATAACAAGCAGCAGCATAGGATTGCTGCAAGGGCTCTGAGTATTGTCTACGCTTACATTGTGTGGTTTTGTTGTGCACAGGCTTTTCATCTATGAAATGGTCAAAAAGGGTTTAGCTTTGAGCAGCATAGGATTGCTGCACGAGCATGACACAGAGTTCTTCCCTTAAGCCTGGTTCTGTACCACAATCCTAATTGCCTGAAATTTTAATCCTGCAAGGTTGGAATAAGGTACTCCTTTTATATGCTTCTCCAGGACTAGGCTGCTGGCCAGCCCTTAAAAAAAATAAAAAAATACTAAAATACTAAAGTAAATGAACAGTAAAAACCTCATATCTTTTAGATTTTTTTAGTAATAAAAGAATCTGCATGTAGAATAAAAACACAGAGGCTACTAAAACTTAAGATTCAGTACTGGACTGCTGAGGCTCTGGATCTAATCATCACACAGACCTTAAACACACGATTTACTTCACCCATACTTGCAACGCTGAATTACAAAGAGACCTTTCAAGTCTGGATACATTGATTCTACTTCTAAAATATTCTGAAGTGAAAGAAACATCTTCTTAAATAATGTGACGATGAAGATCCTACTCCTTTCTTTCTTCTCATGCCAAGTATAGAAAGAACCGAAGAGCAGGCTTTATTACTTTCTGTTAAAAAAAAAAAAATCTGTTATCACGAATCCCCAGTTTATTTTCTATGGCAGGTAAAATAAAGAAAAACCAATTCCATCCAGAAAATAAAAAAAAGGATAATGAAAGAGAGAAATACACAAGTTATAGACATTCTACATCATCAAATTGTCTCATTTCATGTCAGAGAAAAGTTATGACTATTGTTAGAGATTATTCAAATGTCACTTCAGGAAGAGTGATGCTATTTACGTACTTACGGAGTGCCAATTATCCTTATTTCAACACTTCTTCCCCATAGCTCCTCCATAACATATGGTGAAAAGCTATGGTGACATTCAAATTATTAGCGCACATTTTCAGAACATCAGATGCAGTGAATTCACTATGCTTGCTCACTTACCTTCTATAATGTTTCAAGAAAACAGGGAGTTGTTTTCAGATTATTTCAATCTACTTAACCATCCACCATTCTTAAAGAAGATTACACATGATAAATTAATTTCTCTTACCTATAAGGGATCCACTTTACAGAAGCAATACTGTCTTACTATCGAATCCAACGAAAACCTTTTCTTAGCAATAAGAATTCGTCTAACTAATGTCCTTGACTAGAAACTGTTTGTGGTACTAAACATAGAGTATCACAGATGTAGGATTCCATAAAAAACACAAGAACGAAAAAAAAAATAAAAGATTAACATACAAATTACCATACAATAGGAGCATGAAGATACAAGCAACATGGCTCTCACCAAGGTCCAGAATACATCAAGAAAACATAGGTCATATTTACCTCCTTTACAAGGATGAAACAAACGTAATGAGTTTGAAATAGAAAAGAAAAGGCATCCAAAATTTTCACAGCTAGAAAGCTTAACAAAATTAAACTGGCAACAACAATATATATTGCACAAACAAGTGCAAATCACCAAATTATTGTTTTAGAAAGACACCAACAACTATAACGATAAATAGATTAGCAAAAACAAAAGGCATGAAATGTGTACGATAATCTTGGTGGGTGAGTTGCAAGCACAAGAATGGATTTTCAAAGGAAATTTTGATGAAAATATTATTATAATATAATCACAGAAAACAGATGAGCAAACAAGGATCATAAATTCATCAGAAACGGCAACTACTTTTATGCTTTGAGGAATTACTGAAAACATATATATAGCAAAGCATATACATACATTTAATAAACTGGTTACGCATGGGGCTATCCTCTATTGAAACTGGTAGAGGAAAGTGGCTTCTGAGCTTCCTTAGTAATCTGTTTATCATTACCTTGGTTGAGTACGACATGCTGCAAAATCGATTTTTAAGACAAGGTTAGATCTCCTTTTTCTAGATGCTTCAAATGATTGCAAGAATTGAAGGCTCCTATTTAACAAACTGAATTTATTTGCCACAGCACAGACCATCTTAGTACCTTAATCTGTGTCCTATTGTACGTGTAGGTGATATGAATAGATCCATCACTAGCCTGGATAACTGCTGGATATGAGAATTCCATCTCCAGATTTTCCTCTAGAGTAATAACATCAAGCCATGAGTCACCATCATCTTTGGACACAGCAACTTTAAGCACGCCCCTTGAGATAGTATTGTAAGCAAGTAAGACAGGGCCATCTTTTAGTTTGACTCCATCAATTCCTAATGCAAAAATGCATCTTGTCATTCACAACCAATACGAGGGAGCATAAGATAGTAGCTTCCAGAGACCATGGAATCAAGAACATTTTTTAATCTTTGCTTCTTTTCTCTCTCCTTTGAAAAAACATTTGGTAGTTTGAGAAAAGAAAGCAGGAGCAAATTGAAATAACAATAATACAAATTAAAATATGTTCGACTTTGAAGCTCTCAGTCCTAAATTAGGGCATGAGTGAAGAAGAGTTTATAAATAAATCAAGTCTTAAAATCCCAGAAGCAACTCCAACTAGTGCTGTAGGTAATGAGCTGATGGCATTAACAATCATACAAATCCACCTCTCTCAACTATTGTAGGCTTCAGGGTTCTCTGCCCTTGAAATAACATTTGCTAGTTTTAGAAAAGAAAGCAGGAGCAAATTAAAATAACAATAAGTAATATGTTCCACTTTGATGCTCTCAGTCCTAAATTGGGGCATGAGTGAGGAAGGGTTTAAATAAATCAAGTCTTAAAATCCCAAAAGCAACTCCAACTAGTGCTGTAAATAATGAGCTGATGGCATTATCATACAAATCCACCTCACCCAGCTATTGTGCAGGCTTCAAGGTTTTCTGGCCTATGTTTTACTGTGTGCTAAAATGGAATGTGGCATGACTAATTCTCAACTACACATCAAATTTTCATGCATGGGTTGCGCTCTTTAACAAAGATGAAAGATCTAAAAGTGGAGCATGCATGCTCCGACAACAGCTTCAGGGTTCTGTTGCCTATGTTTTAATGGTGTGTAAAGTAGAACGTGGCATGCCTCATTCTCAACTGTGTCAAATTGCTAAGCATCGTGTGCGTTTTTTTCAAAAAGATGCAAGATCTAAAAGGGAGAGCTTGCATGCTCCAATAACTGCAAAGCCACATTTTAAGAAACTGATGCAATTTTACTCTTGGTTGAAACTCAAATTTCCCTCATATTTAGAGTCAATTCTAAGTTCCAAGATCCATGTTAGGTGTGGATGGGAGGGTTTTTGGACAAATAAAGTCAAGCATGAAGGTCCTAAAAGCAGCTCCAACTAGCTTTCTTGGGGCAATTTCCAATGATATTATAGAATATAATTTAAATTGCATGGTCTTGTGATAGAGATCTGACACATGCTATGGCTAATCATGAAAACTAAGATGCGCTAAAGCTAATCTTCAAAATCAGATGAAGATACATTTATTCAACTAAACAGTAACCAACCATTTACATAACACACCAAATACAAGCAAGCCAATGGTCCAAGCCTGGAATACTAACCTGAGTTTGGGTTGGGGAGTGCAGTGGGTTTTGCATAACCCCAGGTCACACCACCATCATAGGATTCTGACATACAAACTCTTCCAATGCCTTCAACAGAACGCAATAAAACACGAAATGTCCCGTCCGCAGTCTGGAATGGTACTGGCTGAATCACACTAAGAGATGTATTTTTAACATAAATAGGGCCATATTTTCTCCATGATCTACCTGCATCTGCAGTTACCTATTCCATGCAAGTCAAAAATAAGTCAGCTGTCAGTTACCAAACATCATTAAGTTCCAAGTGCTCAAGCAATTGCATTGTTACAACCTCCATCCAGGCACCCCAAGAATTCCAACTTTCTACAGATGATCCACAAAGCAAGAGCCCATTTTCCAATAAGATTGGCTGCACAAAAGCATGGCTTATTTAAGGGCATCACAATAGCAACAATCACGCTTCATGGTTTCGGATATAAAAAGATTACTAGAGTCGGTAGACAATATATTCTGATGTTTTATAACCATACCTTATTCTTTGACGGTCCTAATATGCCAGGAGGAAGTTGTTCTCTCTCCGTCCAAGTAACACCTTTGTCATATGACCGCTTCATGCATCCACTCCATCTGAAATATAGCAAGCCAAAAGTGAACAGAAGCAACAAAGATGCAGCAGTAGCTAATAAGCTAAATCTACATTATCGTTTCCACAAGGAAATGTATAATGTAATTTAACATATTATAAAATTACATTCCAAAAGTTCAAAGAAAATTTTTCTTAACTTCGATAAAAACACAACTATTTTCAAATCCAGACAGCAAGTAACTACAAAACTAAGTTGCAACATGATATCACAAAGATGGCAAGTTAAAGTTTCGTCTAGGGTTCAGCTAAATCCAAAACAGATTTAGGCTATGTAGGGTCTGTTGAATCGACACTTGGTGGTAGCCCAATGCAGTTTAGTGGTCTGGTAAACACTCTTGGCAACCCACAATGGCCTTTTATTTCATTTTAAGAGGTTCAAAACTGATTTTGGAAAAAAAAAAAAGGTGGTTGTTTTTTGCCACCATTTAACACCAACAGCAGAGTCGATATACCCAGTTGTTTTAACCCCTGAACCATTGAGGGCCAGTCTAAGTATATTGGAGAATTCATTGGTTATTAATTCCAAAATCGAATTTGGAGGATGGAGTTACTTGGAGCACTCTTCAAATCATATGGCTTGGCTAATGCTTATACAGAACACCTCCTAATGCTAAAAAATTAATGGGATTTGTTAATACTGTGTTGCATGGCATGGTTTTTTTCCTCTCTAGCTGTCCCAGACTCCCAACATATCTGAATCTTAAATTTATACTAACAGGAACAATGTTGTATGTTAAATTGCAATTTAGTTTGTATATCACTTCTCTATAATCTTATGGCTATATAACAGATTTCACCAACAATTATACAGAATTGGGCAGCAAAACATTCAATTACAGTAAATTTGATGCTTGATGTCATATCATATTTTTCTGAACCAATGAAACTATCCTCCCTGTTCTGAATTGCATAAACCAATAACTATATGGAATGCAGAAAAGACAATTCTTAGACCTGATAATGTAGAGATGAAAGAAGAGGCAGTTTCATGAAGTTAATAGTGAACGAAAACAACAAGCATATCCTTGCTTTGATTCGGTAATCAGGGATCCAACAAATTCAATGACATACCTGAAGAAATGGCATATCTCCATACACTATCTCAACCTATGGAGTTATGAGCTTCAAACTAACATAATCATAAACATCCATCAACACACTAAGCTTCCAAAGTTGACTATTGCTCTAGATATTCAACTTCTGCTTGTTCTTACTGATCAAAGGTGAACAGTACTAGAAGAAAACTGTCATTTAATTTTTAGTTGTGTTTTTTCTTTTCAGAATTTATAGTTCTGTAAATTTAGGAATTCTGTATTATATTGAGAATTGTTAGGATATTTCTCCAAACATATGCAAAAGAAATGGACAAAGATTATAATCAAACTTAACTGCTACCTTAACACCTCTCATATCACATCCTTTTCTCTTGCCTAACCCAAATAATGATGTTTGCATGAATCCCCATTTTGTATACCAACAGTAGTAGTGCAAGATATTCAACTTAAAAGGTCAGCAACCTTCTTTCTTTAAGATACTTCACTGCTGCTTTTAGATACATTCTGCCACCTCTTCTTTTGAGTGACGTGAAGGCTTTTAACTTGGCTTGGCAACCCTATACAGTGGTTGCAATTTTTTATTTTTTTTCATCAATAAGGGATTTAGGGTTTATGGATTGAACTGCCGTCTAGGATTGGAAAAGGAGTTACCAATTCATGACAGGAATTGCTTGGAATATCTATCTGCGCTTACTGTCCCCTCCAAATCCATGAACCAAATGCCACCTAAGAAGAAGGATCAGAAACCCGGAAATCCACTTTCCTAAGCCTTTGAAATATATAAAGATGGTTTCTTGGATCTACAGAACTATGCTCTTGAATCCATAAGAACAAAGGATTATGAAAAAGTTTATCCAACAAAAGGGCTCCCCTCATAAAAAATATTCTTGGAAACTCACTTTATCGGCTTAATTTTCCCTCTTATTCCATGAACTTCCCGTAAACCAAACACCATCTGAAAAGGAAAGAAAACCTAGAAATTGGAAATCTACAAGGGCCGCTAGTTGAATTTACAAGACTATGCTCTTGAATCCACAAGAACAGAGAATTATTAAACCCTTTATTCATCAAAACAACCCCTCACAAAAGAAGATGCCTGGAATGTCACTTTCCTGGCTTACTTTTCCATCCGACCCTGTGAAACACACACCACTTTAAGAAGAAGGATAGAAAACCAAGAATCCATTAAGCAAAACTTTCGTAATCTACAAGGGCTGCTTCTTGACTCCCAAAACTATGCTCTTGAATCAAGAAGAACTAAGAATTATTAAACTTTATCCATTAAATGGTTCCCTCCGCACAAAAAGGATTGGAATCCACCAGGCTTACCTTTTCCTTTGATTCCGTGAACTAAATACCACCTGAGAAGAAGGATAGAAAACCTAGAATCCCTCCGGTTCTGTGAACTAAATACCACCTAATAAGAAGGATAGAAAACCTAGAATCCACTAGGGTAAAACTTTGAAACCTACAAGGGCCACTTCTTGAATCCACAAGAACAAAGAATTGTGAAACAGTTGTTCCCCTAACACAGAATATGTGAATTATACAAGCACATAAAAGTCCTAAAAAGTCATTAGGAAACAAACACCCTACTACAATTAGATATTAAATAGTCTGGAATGGTATAAGCACACCAAAATTCTAAGAGGTCCTAAATTAAACAAACAAAATCCCTATTACAATAAGATACTAAATAGTCTAAGAATAATATATTTCTAAACAACAGGACTATAAATAATTGAAAACAGAAGTAGTCTTCTTGTCTTGCATCAAAAGTTCTTTTTTCTTTTCAACTTTTCCCTGTGGAATTAGAGTTCACAATTTTAATTTCGCAGTCACTTCGATGTGGCGTAATTTTCTTATGCAGAATGTATGCTGTCATGACAAAGACTTGAATGATGTATGGTCTGCATTCCATGCAACATGCAAAATCAGAATAGCCATTTGTGCTCTTGAAATTGGATGAAAACATATGAATTTAGCAACAACCGAAAAACGTACATACAATTTGGGGAAACTTGACTACAGAAATGAATAGTTAAATCGAAGGAAAATCACAGAGATTGGAAGTTTTACTTTTGGACCTCTTGACCCACTTTATAGAACAGTAATAACTCGTCTGATGACAGTTTGAATAGTACAGGGTTCCACATAGGAATATCAGGCTGTTGATCAGCAATGATGGGTGATTGCCAATAACCATCCTGCATGACAGATACCCACTCATAACCATCTTAAAATCCAAAGAGGAACATAACAGGAAATTTGAGAATGAATCAATTACTCACAGCAGGGATTGAAAGGCGACTAAGCCAAGAGGGCTTAAAATAAGTTAAGGAATCAATGGATACATCCAGGATCTTCCTAAAATTGCTTTTTTGATCTTTTGAATCTAACAATTGATACCACTTATTCTACTGAGAAAGTGCAGTTTACTACTGGAATGAAGAACGTAAGGTGTTGAAACAATGCTTATCCATTTATTTTTATATCGCTGGTTGGCTTGGGACATATCTGGGACAATATTCTTGCAATTTGTAGAGAACAGTGGATTTCCTATAACAAAAAGACAGAGAACTTGTTATTTATGGATTAATGGTTTTCCAGAAGGAAGATCATAAGACCTTGAGGTTGCATTCCTTCTTCTAGGGTGTGTTTGAATGGAGTTGAGTTCAAGATTTCTCAAACACTTTTCTCTATGGAAGCAACTGCTCGATAATTTTTTGCCTCTTTTGAGCACTACAACCGGGGCTTTTGGGAGTCTCATTACCAAATACGCAGAAGGATTGGAAAGCCCTGTTGATTTGAATTATCTAATTTTTCCTCTTACAGCTTGTAGTACTTTTTTGAGTCTTCCTTTCCTTCTAATAAATTTCATCTTTTAAGCAAAATGAAATACTGCTAACAGGAGGAACTACTAAAGAGCATATGCTACAAATACAGACTCATGAAAACAAACTTTTTGAAAAAAAATTAGATGATCAATCCATCAGCGACATGCTATTGATTCAGAAAGTAATCCAACAGACAGAGGAAGAATAATTACTTTGTATGTCTGTATCCAAATTTTCACATCAGGTGCTCCCTCTTTTGTACCTCCAAAATAAGCAACCAAAAAGTGATCTTTATCAACCTGCACAAAAAACAGATCAGCAACACATTAAACTGCTGCTGATGAAGGCAAACCGTAAGAATTCAAAGACAATTGTTTAACTCAATTGGACAACCTCAACAATCGTAGAGGCATGACAGTTATTGAAGGGAACAGAGTTTGCAGGAAATGTGAACTCCTCTTTCACTGGCTGCCAATAATAACAATCTTTGCTCATATTTGATATCTTGGGCGCCAGAACCGTATTATTTGTGTGTACTCGAGCGAACTTCCTGAAGAGAACTTAGAACATTTATAGGTCTTAATAATAATAACAGAGGACACAGAAGGACAGAGACAAATGCATAGAGGAAATAGCATTTCCATTAACAAATGAACAAGATAAAGATAACAGCAACAAAAAAACGAAAACATGGGGGCTCTTTCTCTGTTTTCTTTTTCCCCAGGCAACCTCCTCTGACATTTTGGTTGTAATATACGCTTTTCCCCATGATATAAACATTCAATAAGGGTCCCTCATGGATTCAAGGAAGTTATAACTGAATCCATATCCCAAATATAGTGTGCAAAACAACAATAGAGTACAGTTTGTTTCTATTGATAGGTGTTTCACTACGATCGTTCTAAACAAGGGAAACACATGTTAAAAACTTGCAGCAAATGGATGATATCTGAGATGTAGATTCTTTCCACAATTGGGTGCAGGAATTAGGGCATACATGATTAAAATAAGCACTAAAACTACAACATCAATCAGTTTAACAAATCAAAGATGAAGAGAAAATATAAGGAACAGAAAAAAACAAAAAAAGACAACCTGCGAGGACGCTTATGAAAGTCATGTATTAATCGTTGGTAGGTGTGCAATCTGATAGTGTGAGAGCTCAAGAACTCATGGTTGACTTTGGAGGGGCCATGAAAATCAGAGAAATTGGACACACAAAACAACAAGAACAAGAAGAGAAACAACACAAGGCTCCTAAACACCCACATTCCAATGAACTTCTGTTTTCAGAACTAGGTTTTCTCAGAGCAATTTGGTATGAACACACATCCATACATATAGAATGCTAAAGAAAGGAAGTCAGGATAACAGAAACAAAAGAAGAGCACCCAATTTGCATTAATTAATAGCATAACAGAAAAAAAAAAAAAAAAAAAATTAGAGAAGCAGTAATACCTAAATTGATGCCATGAAAATAAAGAATAAAGAAAGACTTTTGAGTGGAGAGAGGGAGAGAGGGAGGGAGGAGTTTATTAAAAAATTGTTCAAAGACCCAAAGAAGAGAGAGATGCAAGAAAGGGGGCACAGCTGACTGACTGCTGAGGTTACTCTTCAACTCAGCTTCAAATATTGTGAACAAAGGCCCCTTAGAAAACAAAACTTTATACATTGCCCCCTCAAGAAACCTAATTTAGCCCCTTCAAAGATAGAAAATTTACTTATTCCTTTCCCAAGAAACACATTTTTTAACACTTTCTCCTTCTCTGTGTCAAAGTCACTCTCTCAATCCTCTTCACTCCCTCACACTCTGTCTCTCTCTCTCTCTCTGCTACATCCTGAAAAAGAAAAAGTAGAAAACCCATGGGAATGGCACCAATCAATCCAGCCATTTCCCAAATTACCCCAGCAACCACACTTACCTATTTCCTCCTCCTCCTTGTCACCACCAACGCCACCAGCACCCCAATTTTATCTATAGCCAACCTGACAGCCCTCCTTTCCTCCTTACCTGACCTCTCTTCCTTCACTTCCCTCCTCGCCTCCACACCCTTTCTAACCTCAGAAATCTCCGACCGCTCTGCCCTCACACTATTAGTCATCCCAAATTCTTACCTTTCCTCCTCTTTAGACCTCACGCGCCGCCTCTCTCCTTCTGCCCTCGCCGACCTACTTCGTTACCACATCCTCCTCCAATACCTCTCTTCCTCCGACCTCCACCAACTTCCCACATCTGGGGCCCTCATTACCACCCTCTTCCAAACCACCGGCCGCGCCTCCTCTAACTTTGGTTCTGTTAACATCACTCGAAACCCAGTAACAAACGCAATCACTATCTCCTCTCCATCCCCTTTTTCCTCCTCAAACGCCACGGTTTTGTCCTTGATAAAGACTCTTCCTTACAATGTTTCAATAATTTCAGTGAATTCTCTATTAGTCCCTTATGGGTTTGATTTGATGGCATCAGAAACAAGGCCTACATTGAGTTTGAATATTACTAAAGCATTACTTGATGGCCACAATTTTTTTGTAGCTGCTTCTTTATTATCTGCTTCTGGTGTTGTACAGGAATTTGAGGCCGATGAAGGAGGAGCTGGAATAACACTTTTTGTGCCTACAGATTCTGCATTTTCAGATCTGTCGGCCACTGATGTTAGTTTACAGTCATTGCCAGCTGATAAGAAAGCTGATGTCTTAAAATTCCATGTTTTACATTCCTATTACCCTTTAGGTTCTTTGGAGTCTATTGTTAATCCTGTGCAGCCTACATTAGCTACTGAAGATATGGGTGCCGGGAGTTTTACGCTGAATATTTCGAGGGTTAACGGGTCGGTTGCGATCGATTCAGGGATTGTTCAGGCGTCTGTTACGCAGACGGTTTTTGATCAAAACCCTGTTGCAATTTTTGGGGTTTCGAAAGTGCTTTTGCCTAAAGAGATTTTTGGGAGGAATCCTGTGTTTACTAGTAAGCCAGGGAATCCTGATACGCGGAATGCACAGCCACCTTTTATTGCTTTGTCTCCAGAGAGTTCGCCGAAAATGCTGTCGTCTGCTCCAGGCGTTAGAGAAGAGATTAAGTCTGGAGTTGGAGGGTTACAGTGGTTGAGTACTCTATCTTTTCTTTCTGTTGTCGTTGTATGGTACTGTATTTAATGGTATTTTGCACTTCATAGTCAACGATTTTTTTTCTTTTTTGGGGGGTTTTGTACACGGTTATTGAATTGAATTTGGCTACAAAAGTAGCCTGTCTTGTGGGTTTTTTTTTTTTTTTTGTACGTGGCATTGTAGAGGTAGATGTCAAAGTGTGAATTCTGTAGTTTCTTGAATAATTTATAACATAAGAGCATCATATTTTCTTTGGCAGTTCTGCACTTTCTTCTTTGGCACTTGTTATAAAAATTTGATAAGAGTTAAAGGAGGAAATTGTGTTTTTTATTATTTTGGGCAGCTTGTTGTGTTCTCCGGCGGTGTTGAATTTATTAGCTAATTATGAGGTTTGAAAATTTGAGTTCTAATTTGCATTTGGCCTCTCTTTTATGTTTCAACCTTTTAAGCCATTACTGATATTGATTCTTGATGTTCAAACCAATCTCCTACATGAGTTCTGCCCTAAATGGACCCCTGACAGCACATGTTCTATCCTAAAAAATAACAAACAAATTGGTGTGTGGCAGCAGGGGATGCTTGTTCTATTGCCTTGTAGATCTCATTGGTACTTGTGCTTACTTTGGAAGTGTATGATTGAGGAGGAATTTTAGCTTGCAAAACTGGCAGCCGTTGCCTTGTTTCGTTTGGGAGTTTCAAGTGACGGCTTATGATTTTACTGGGAGTGAGGAGATTTCTTATGATCAGTTTATGGAGCAATTAGAGCTTCGAGTTGAGTGGAGACTACCTGGTTCTAGCTTTCCTACTGGTGGGTATCAACAGCTGAGAGGATTGCAAATGCAAATTGGATTTTAGAATTTGGGCGTGAACAGCTCCTCGTTACCCAAGTGCAAGTGTGAATACATTCTCATCACTTTGATCCTGATTTGTTGTGGTTCTATTTTTCATTGATACTAGGAAATAAGGATCTTTAGACTTTTTTTGTTGTTTTTAGCTTTTGGATGAGCTACAAACAGATCAATGGTCACAGGCACCAGGGAGTCCGGCTTCAAGTTCCTTACATGCGATGGCCAAGCAAGTTAATGTCTTCTGAATCTGATGAGGTATTCTTGCTTCTTTTTTCTTTCTTTTTAATATACGTGTGTGTGTGTGTGTGTGTGTCTGGCTTTGTGGGTGTGTTATTGCAATTCTCTGTTATGCCAGTTTCAATAATGATTTGTCATTTGATTTTACTTGATTGGTGGGCAAGTCTTTGAACATGTGAAGAAAACAGTGTGAGATTTGAAATGAATGATGGTCATGGAAGCAGAGGCTGGTTTAGTTCAAACTCAGAGGCGGGTTCGATTCCCGTTGTTCACCCATAACCCTAAAGTGGATGCTTCATATGAGTTCTTTTTTCTCTTCTTTAGCGTATTTTCTCTTGTGGTCCATGACTATTTATAGGATCATACTTCATTAGTAAAAAATAAAACATTTCTGAAATTTATTGATAACAATCCTATGAAACTGTATGGAAAAGCTTTGAGTGAAGCTCTTTTTGTTTACTACAATATATTTGGTGACTCAATTGGGAAATACTATTCATTGGGATTTCCATTAGGAAATACAATTTGGAGTAATATAGAGGGGCTCATAACTGGTTTTTTTCTACATGAGAGAGCAACCAATGTTCCAACTACTTTTTAGGAAGCACGGATAGCATGCCATTTCTGATTTCTACTCCACCTCTTTGGCATAAATTGATTTCTATTCTCTCATTATCTCTCTGAATCGATTTCTTGGCCTAGATTACAAGTAGAACAATATCTAGAGCTATGGTTTTGTTTTTCAAACCAAGAGTTTTTCTGGTAATTTTTCTTTTGATTCTTTGTGATTATAAACAGATTGACCCCATTTTGAAGTTTTACAGATCTTGTCAAATTGTTTGATCTAGTGCATTCCCACAAGGATCTTGATAAGTATGCAGCACCATATTCTATGAAAGCAATCAAGTTCTAGCTAAATAGGAGGTTTGGGAGGAGGAAGAGCAACCTTGAAATGACAGCATTCATTTGCTGAAGTGGTATATTGGCCTAAGTGGAACAGAGGCCTGGGGTCAAGTAAAAGGTAAACTTGTTGCTAAATTTCCATGATGAACTATGAGACATCATGAAATTAGCTTTCGTGATAAAATGGAGTATAAGATGTGATTTAGGGTTCGAATACATAAGTATAGTAGGGCTAACTGCCATGAAAGTGCTCTTCAGTAGGGCCGAGGGCAAATGCAGTGATTCTTACCTGTGGAAGGGCATTTGTGTGTCATTGGTAAACGTGTGAGTGTGCACCAGAAAGGTTGTGGAGACAGGACAGTGTTCTCTTTCTGGTGGCGGTTATGTGGGTCGAGGGACAGGGCCCTCTTTCAGGCAAGGCAGTTCCATCCTATCCCAGAAGGTCATTGGTTTACTAAAGCAGTGGAGTGGGTTAGTGGTATCGGACAATAGGACTGGAACACATTCTGCCATTTGGTGCCTTTGGTACTGCTTATAATCTTCGGTCATGAAGATTTACTCATGAACCTGTCCTCCAAAGCTGGAGAGAGGGACAGACAGATCTGCAGAAGACCTGGCAATATGAAGTTTTCCACAAGTCTGCTTATAATCTTCTTGAAGAAGATTTCTGGAGTAACTCACGTTATGAGTGGAATTTAGTTTGAATATGCAAAAGCCTATACAAGATTCTCTATTTCTTCCAGCTGGTACAGATTAACAGATTGTTAACAAATGCGCATTTAGAGGAACAGGGCATCTAACAGATCCAGTTACTTGACACTTGTGCTCGACTAAAGAGTGAAGAGGAGAACATGTGCTTAGGGATCCTTTGTGGCCAATTGTTTGGTGCAGTCTTCTGGACAAGAAGGACAAGTTCACATTTTTTGACAAGGATCATTATAAATGGTTGTGTTCAAAGTTTAAAGGTGTCTGTGATAAGGTGATGGTCAAGGATTGGTCTCTCTTTTTGGAATCACAAGCTGGCAAGATATGGAGATGGATGAATGATTGTAATTTTAGCAATCTTGTGGTGGCTAGCATGCAAGCTGTCTTTTTTTCACTAGTTCGTTGCAGAAGTTAAGCTGGCTGACTCGATTAACTCCTAAACTTCCATGAAGCTAGCAAGAGAGGAGAGACTTATTGGCTGGCACCAACATAAAAAGGAAGATGAAGTTGGATACTGATGGGTGATATATATATATATATATATATGGCCTGGTTAGCGTTGCTGGTGTTTTCTGTAATTGGAGCAGCATTGCCATTGGTGTGTTTTCCTGCTCTCGTGGTTTTCAAACCAAGCTGAAGCCACTGCCATCAGAAAGGCTTTAGCGATTACTACTTTAAATCCTTTTCTGCTTCACTACTTTATTCTGATGGAATCAGACTTGGGTATTGCTATCAGTTGGTTGAATATAGACTGGTTGGACTTGGAAGTGTCATCAAGTTTTTCTCACCATTTCCTCATTATCATAATCATTCTGAGGGGTCTTTTCTCTCATGCTTTGCTGGAAGCCAATTTCTTGCAGACAATCTTGCTAGACTAGGAGTTGCTGGAAATTCTGATTTTATATCCTGGGTTTGACTCTGATGATTGGTTTAATCTGGTCCCAGTTCTGTTGCAGAAGGTCCTACTGTTAAATTGGAAATGGATCTCCTCTTTTGGCATCTCTGGCATCTGTTCTAGATTTTATTCTACACTGTGTATCAGACAATTCTTCTGCTGCTTGGCTTACTCATATGAGTTTGCTGATTTTTAGGTCTGAAGATTGTTAGGTTATGTGGTCTTTTGCCGCTGGAACTCTTCTACTGCCGGACATTTTGAGGGAGCTCTGTGATATATCTTTCTTAATCCTGCTTGTTTTAATATATCGTGTCTCCGGGCTTTTTCTGTCTGTATGTATCCATCTCCATTGTGGTACCATTTAATCTTTGGTTCGATGTTGGGGCTGCCGTCATTGGTTTCTCTAGTGTGCTTCTTGATCTGCTGGGTGATGTTTGGAATTCATATTCTCTTGCTGTGTTTATTTTTGTTGGCCGACTGTTGTTGGAGGTTTAAGTTGCTCAGATAATTTTTGAGTCTTCTCATCAACATGCGTGTTTTTGCTTTCTTTATTTTCATCCTCATTTTCTGATTACTTTTATGTCAATACTCCTGTTCTCATTTCTGTCCAATTTTTTTTCTTTTTCTTTTTTTAATGTTTGCTTGGTGCCATATTTATAATATTTCCTCTGGTTTATCAAGAAAAGGAAAAATCTAGAACACTGAGGGAGCTTGTAGGGTAACCCCAATGTGGTAGAAGTAGGACGCTAAATCAGGCACCATTGTGTTGCTCTGTGAGGTGGTTTTGCTTTCAAGAGAGAGCCTGTGTTTTTGGCAGCTAAGGTAGAGCTATGAGAGGTTACATAAACAGCTTGGAATTGACAGGTTTCAAGCGTTGATCCATGGAAGTAGATTCACAAGATGGTGCAGCCATGATTTAGTCAAGGCCTACAGATGCAGTTTCTCTTGCGATCATGCTCAGGCGTGTTTCTGCAACTCCTTCAAATGGAGTGGACGTTGTCACACCAACAGGGAAGTAACATTGGTCTTTCAGGCAACGTTTCCAGTCTGTTTTCTACACCTCCAGGCGTTATTTTTTTGTGCTGTTTCTAGGCGTCTAGCCTTTTTGACTTCTTGGGCATTGTTGTCCCTTGTCACTTTCCTTCATGGGTGTATGCTCAATATTAAAGGGATTCCTTTTTAATAAAATGGAATAGTTACACCACAAGTATACCTTAACTTTTTTTCAATCACATTTTTTTTATTATACTTATTTTTTCAAAATTACCAGTCAAATATTGAATTTTTTTTTAACCGATAATGTATTTGTCATCTTCTAAATATCAAATTATAATTTTGCTCTTTTTTAAAAAAAATTAAATATATGAATTTGTAATTTTTTTTATTTGAATACATCAATTTTTTAAAAAATTGTCAATCAAGTATTTCGTCAATTTTTTTGTTAAGCGATGATGTGATCGATTACAAAATTATAATTTTTTTTATAGACTTTCTCTTTAAATTATTTTACCATTTCAAAATTTGACAATATATATATAATTTTTTTAGCCATAATATCTCAAACTAAAGCATGTTAGGTTTGTTGTTAAAAAAAAAACTCGGTTAAGTTTAGGAGTGAAAATTGAACTAAAACACAAATAAATCTTTTCAATGAAAAACTCACATTTGTGTTTCCTTGAATTTTCACATCTAAATCTAACTATGTTTTTTTTTTTTTTAACAAAAAGCCTAACTAAGTTTAATTTAAGATTTTATAGCTACAAAATAACTACTTTTTAAATTCTTTGTAAATTTTAAAATAGTAGAATTATTTGAAGGAAAATTTCTTTTATATATATGTGTGTGTGCGCGCGCGCGCACGGATACATCACAAGTTAACAAAAAATATTTGATTGACGATTTTGAAAAAATGGTATGCTCAAGCAAAAAATAAATAAATAAAGTTCATGTACTTGATTAAGGAAAAAAAGAAGCAAACCTGTAATTCGATATTCGAGGGTAATAAATGCTTTATCAATTAATGCGAAATTTAACAAAAGTATTTAATTGATAGTTTGAAAAGGTTGGAGTACTCAAACAAAAAATTAAAGTTTATATACTCGATTAAAAAAGTTTAAAAATTGATGTACTTATATCGTAATTATCCTTTTATAAAACAAACATAACCTATTTTTAAATGAGTTAATTACATTTGCTATTTACAAAGAAGTCAAAAATTTTTAATCGGGCCTTCAATTCAAGTTATAATTTTTTTTTATTAAGTGTCTTTATTAGTTTTTCATCAATTTTTTTTATTATATGCACATGTGGCATGTTAATAAGATATGTTTTACACGTGGCATAACATGATAGCCATATGTGAGACACGTGTAATGACGTGAAAAATGAAAAAAAAATACTAAGAAAAAAATCTCATCCTCCTAACAAAGAAAAAGTCGATCCATCACTACCAACAAACATTGCCGTTGCCAACCACCACCATTACTATCAACCATCCCTGCCATTAGTCATCCTATTGCCTCTAACAAACCCTGAATCGAGCTTCCACTAAAACCATTGTCGACCACCACATGCAGCCACCTAAACCTCGACCCTAAAACAATCCATTCATCCCACAACCCGTTAACCACCATCTAACCTTCCTCTTCATTATCAACCACCATTGCTACTCTCTCTCCAACAACAGTTTGACGTCTATCAATTCAACTTATACAGCAGCCCAACCCTCAACAGCCAAACCTCTGCAGTAGTCCAACCTTTAATAGCCATACCTTCACAATAGCCCAGCCTCCTACAACCACCTTTAAAGACTCAACGCCACATCAATTCCTAAATCAACAACCGCAACAAGCACCCTAGATCAATGATTATGCCAAAAGGGAGATTATTGATGAAAAGTGGCTTAGCTAGTATAAGAGAGGAATCGTGGGCACAAGCAAGAAAAGGGTGACAATTGTTATAGTGACAGTTCCTAGTTGTGGTTTATGGTAGTAGTTTTGTGGGAATTGTGGTTTGTTAGAGGTAGTGGAGTGATCGATGTTGGTGGTTGGTGGCGGTAGATTTGTTGGCAATGATGGATTGACTTCTTCCTTGGCAAGAGGAGGAGATTTTTTCTTAGGTTTTTTTTTTTTTTTTTTTTCACGTGACAACTATGTGTAAAACTTATCCTATTAATGGGCCATATGTGCATATAACGAGAAAAATTAATGAAACGCTAATGGAGACACTTGATTAGAAAAAAAAATTGAAAACTTCATAAATTGAAAAATATAATTAACTTATTTTTAAATTATAACAACGCTAACATAAAAAATTTTAAAATACTCATAAAGTAATTAATAATACTTATTTATATTTTTATTTTGATGAGAAAGAAAGAGAGAGAGAAAATCATGTTCAAATCCACCAAATAAGATAAGAATATTTTTAATTAGATTTTTTTTTAATTCTCTCCTTGTTTTTTTTTAAAGAAAATATAATATTATTAATACTGCAAATAATACATAATTATTATAATTTTTGTAAGATTCAAATAAAGATGACATGAATGATTTATCCACTAGCGTAAAAATAATTAACATTTCAAGTAGCATCTCGTCGTCTCCAATTCATGGATTTCCAAATGAGTTGTTTGAGTTTTTTTTTTTTTCGCAACCTGTCCATGATGTGGATTTTTTTCATGTGTCTTAAACTCAGAAATCTCCTGCCACTTTTTATCAATGGAAGAACAAGTTACATTACTAGGCCCCATTGATAGATAAAATAAATTTACAATAATTTTTTTGAAACTTTCTTACACCGACAAATTCGACAATTATATTATTTGAAATTCATCCAAGAATGTAAATTTATGTTTTGATCCACTATAGATATTCAAGCGAACCTATAATCGACAAAATCCAAAAACAAAAAACCTCATACATAGAGGACAACAAACCAAAATAAATCATAGATTGTAGACAATATAGATCTAAATTTATAATTATTTGGACAACTAAAACTATTTGATCTAAACAACTCTTGAATTATTAAGAAACTAAAATAGAAAAACAAAAGATAAAGAAAGAGTGAAAGAGATAAAGGAAAAGAAGAAGAAGAGGAGGTTGGCTATTCTAGATAGAGATGAAAAAAAAAAAAAAAGAGTTTTTAGAGAGAGGTAAGAGTCTCTCTCTCTAAAAAAGAGAAAAAAGAAAAAAATTCTTTTTTTTAGTTTTTTCTATGAAGTAAATATTTTTAATTACTCTGTAAATAATATAAATTTGATGTGTCGCTTTTGATAAGAGAGAAAGTCACAAAGAAAAATGAGAAAATCATATTCAAATCTATATTATTTAGACTTTTTTTTAATTCTTTCTTTTATTTCTTTCTTCCTATGTTTATTTCTCAGATATGAAATAAATATCATTAGTTACTTTACTAGTAAGATAAATTTTTTGGATTACCTTGATAAGCTAAAGCAAATCCATTTGCTACTTGAGATCAATAATGCAAGGATTATTGAATGTCCAACAGTCCAAGACACTTGATTCCCTCACCTTTTCACCTTTTTTTCCAACTTTATTACCTGTTTTCCTCCTTCATCTAAGGCTTTTCCATCCCGTTCTTCTCACTCCCAACTCCAACCCATCTAAAAAATTTATTATAATCTGCTATATAATAACACGTATGATCGGTAAAGATCAGGTTTGAGTTAATAATAATAATAATAATAATAATTACACTACTGTGTCGAAATTAGGTTTTAAATTTTAACCTCCATCACTTAAGGTTCTAATAATTACAGGAAGTTCTCTTATTCTATAGAATTTTAGTTTAGGCCTCAGTGTTAAAGAATATTTTCAATTCGGTCCAAACCACAACACAACAGAAGCCAGTACACTTGTACATACATAAGTAACCTAGGCAGCCTCAGTGACAGAAGCAAAGGAAGCAGGAGGGGCTTGCCGAAGTCGAGAGAGAGAGAGAGGGCTTCTCTTGTCAATTTTTAGCTAGCACAAAACCTTAGATGGGTTCTTCTGTAAACTCAAAATGGTGGATTGTGACCCCCACCATAACTGTGGCACTTGCACTTCTTTCTGCCTCAACGGCTCTCTCTCGTACTCTTCCTTCCTTTCTCACCTTCTTCTTTTCATGTCGTCTATTTAGTGTTTACTATGAATGAACTGCACACTGAGGTCTTCTTTCTTTCAGTTTATTTTTGTAGAAAGAAATCAAAAGATTTGTATTCAAAGATTCAAGAACTTGAGATTTCTCTCAATTCTTGTTTGCAAAAATGTGCTGCTGAGAGACAGGGGCGAATTAGAGCCCAACAGGTCTCTCTCTCTCTCTCTCTCTCTCTCTCTCTCCATGCACTTCAATTTGTAGCTGAATTTATATGGAGCTCTTTCTCTTATGATGATGTAGTGTTATTTTTGTGAATTGCAATCACTGATAAATGATGCTACCTTTTGGTTTTGTAGGATTTGAGAAAGTCCTTAGCACAACCCAAGTCTGAGAATTTGGAGCAGACTTCTTATCCCATGGCCCCTATTGGAGTTGTTCAGTCTTGCTTCTCTACCAGGTAATCTTCCTCTGTGATCCAAATTAGAGATTGTTTGTCCTTTCGTTTGTGCTTTTACTTTCATCCTAAATGTGATACATCAACCAAGTGATAGTGAGGGTATAGAGAAAGCTACAAATGGACACTCAAGTTTTGAAGAAATTAGAGATGTTTTTAGAGGACTATAAGCATAGAAGTAGACAGGACATTCACTTCATTGATTACTTAAGCAATCAGACCTGCCATAACTATTCTCCATGGAAAGCAGAAACTTTTCCTGAATACTGCATCCCTTCAACTCTCTCCGGGACTGCACTCACTGGTGGGGAAATCAAATAATGGGAAACTTTTCTACCGCTTTGTAAAAGAACACTTTCATTTTTTTTTTCAACATCTGAATGGCTCTTGTTGAGCAGTAATCAATTTAGTTATTGTGTATCTGCACAGAGCATCTCTTTTGTTAGATCTCCTAAGTTCATCAAGTCCATTGTTTGAAGTCCAGAGTCATGATTGATTTCTCTCATTATGAACTCTGCATATCGAGCACATTGTTCTGTTAACCAAACCTATGCCTAATGCTGACACAATTTGTATTCCTGTATTGAAATTTTGTACATTTTTATGCATGCATACTCAGGCAAAAAACTTCGGAAGTTTGTACATTTAGCTATGCTTTTGCAAATGGTTGTTTATTAATAGAAGCCAACTCATTCATTATTGGTGCAGAAATGGGACGCCAAGGCAACCTTTACTTGTACCTCTTGCTAGGGCTTGTTTAGTCTTTGACTCAGCTCGGGTTCCTCCAGCATCCCTTGAAGGTCTTGTAGAATATTCTCATTGCTGGGTTGTATATGTATTTCATTTGAACACAGATTTGGATAAGTTATGGAAGGAACCATCTAGATCAAAGTTTAAGGCCAAGGTATATGGTGCTACTAGGTGTATTATATAGTTTGACTTTTATTAAAATTGTTTCTTATATGAAGTGTCTACAAAAGCTTGGCTGGTTGGATAGGTCAGAGTACCAAGATTGAAAGGCAGAAAGATGGGAGTCTTTGCTACAAGATCTCCACATCGCCCATGCCCTATTGGTCTCACTGTTGCAAAGGTAGGATAAATTTTTACATTTTCCTAGTTGTGTTGTATATGCTGATGCAAAAATTAGAATAAATGTATATATTTTGTGCTAGATTAATATCAAGGTTAATTGATAAGGAAAGGTAATGATCAAACTTCTTAAAACTAGTTCCTGTTTTCTTTTACTTGTGCGAATGGGCAGTACTCCCTTGGTTCCTGCATTTATGGATTTTATTCAATTCTCACCAATAAAATATTTTTGGAAACTAGATGCGTTTCATCCCCATGCTTGGAGTGTCACATTAAATCTTGCGCCATATGTTGCTTTTCCTTCATGAAAAGTTAGAACTTGCAGGAAAGGAAATTCCTGTACTTAACAATTAGTAATAATATCTGTTGTTTACTCTAGGTGAAGGCTGTACGAGGAAACATTGTTTTGCTCTCTGGTATTGACCTAGTTGATGGGACTGTAAGTCTTCAATGTTTTGTCTTTCCTAGTCACACTGCCTATAATTTATATTTTTTCTTCCTTTTTTTTTTTTTGTAATAGCTTTACTGTGCATAAAATGAATAGTTCTGGTTTCCATGATTTTGGTTGTACTTATTGTTCTGCTTTTATTAACAGCCAATACTTGACATCAAACCATACCTTCCATACTGCGACAGCATCCAAGGGGCAGCAGTGCCAGAGTGGGTAATGGTAATACCTCAATACAACTTTAGCATATTGCAATCCTGCATGCAGTTGTTAGAAAATGATGGTGCATTATGTTGTGAAATTTTTTCATACAACAAAATACTAGTCTCAATTCTGGAAAGTTTCAACATTAGCAGGCATTGTTAAACTATGAGCTGTAAAGTTAGAGCTATAGGAGGTTATCTGGTGATGAAAAATTTCAAGATGTATAAGAAGTAATGCTTCAGAAGGACCAATCCCTAAGTCTGGATACATATGTTTCTCATTTAGCTTCTCTTTTGCCCCTTCACTTATTCCTGTACGACATTGGAATAATAGCTAATTTCTGTACAGGAGGACAATATGTTAGCAGTAGCTTCTGTTAACTTTTCCGAGGGCTTCTCTTCCTCACTATCTGATTGTTGGGACACAGCAGTAAGTGGTTCATATCTACTTGAAATATTAAGCATTCATATCACTGAATACATGTGATTAGTTTGGATTCTTTTTGTTTTTGAGTTTGGCCTTTCCTATTCTTTGTCATCTGTTGTCATAATATCTTTGCAAATTGCACTTCACTAAATTACCTCACCTATATAACAGTTTATTATGTAGTACTAACTGCCAAATCAAGCATCATAGTAATTATCTCAGTAGGAAATCTTTTGGGGTGGGCTATATTTCTTGCCTCCTGGCTTAGTATAAAGAGAGGGAGTTACCATGAGCACATGTGAGAGAAGCAGCCCAAAAAGTGGTAAATCAGATAACACTTCTAGTCAGTATTTCTGTCACATGACTAAAAAAAGACAACAACCAAAAAATCATTTTATTAAATAGTCCTTGCAAAATAATAGAATCATATCGGTAATAACCCATGGTTAGGTTATGTAAGTAATTGCTAAGACCTAATATATATAAGTAAATTTTAGGGGAATCAACAAATTAGTACTTTAACTATGGGAACTATGTAACATTTCTCATTGTTAGGCTTCCATCCAGGACGACTCAGACTATCTACAGCAATTAGATTGTCAAAGAATAACATTGCCTTATTTACCTCCAATGTCCCAGTATCTAGGCCCCAATTTGCAACTCGAATCACCAAAGTTCAACACAGGAAAAACCCAATATTTATTTCTGGAAAAATATGCATGTTTTGGCAAAATTTGATTCTTTATTAGGCAGGGTAAAGGAGGAACTCGACAAAAAATGTAGCCTCTTGATGATTTTTGTTGTTTGTAATAGACATCTAGGGTGGAGGAACAATATTGAAAAGTATCAGAAAGTTGCTGCAATCCCTAATTTGACCACCACTCAGTTCATTCTTCTCATTCAAATCATAATCTTTATCTTCCTTTTCTTCTTCATTTCAAACTAATGAAATTTACCTTTGATAGAGAGAAACATAAGCACTGTTTAAACAAGTGATTTTGAAAAGTGAAGATTTATGAATTAAAAAACCATAAATGAATCCATTCTATTAAATCTTTAGTGATCTGAATTTGATAGCAATTCTGCTGTGGAAATTTTTTTATTGCAATTGATTCTTTTTAGGGATAGATCAAGGAATATCGATATAGATCATATGACTTCATACTTGTTTTAAGATATTAACTTTTCACAATGTCCACGTAGAAGTTCCTTCACCGTCTGAAACTATTCCTATTGCTCCTATTGTATAATGTGACAAATTAAAGAGCTGTTCTGAAAAGTTTTATGTATCTCTCTCTTGACAGATTTACAATATATAGATATTAAGAGAGGAGATAGAATCATGGGGGATGTCAATAGAATCATTCTCATTTATTATTCTTTCCTTTGACAAAGATCTGGAATTGAAATTCCCAGGAAGAATAATTCTTGCCATTAAACCCAACACAAGAATGCGCAAATCGTTCTAAAGACATGATTCAAGTAAACAAGAAAAAAGAGGGCCAAGATATCAAATCAGATGACTGAAATCTGAATAGCAAGACAAGAATAACCAAGAACAAGAATACTAGGATCACGAAACTAGGCAACAAGATGAAACAGTGTCAAAAACCTGGCTCTAATATCATGATAAATTAAAGAGCTTTTCTGAAAAGTTTTATGTATTTCTCTCTTGACAGATTTACAATATATAGATATTAAGAGTACATCAAATCCCTACAACTTAGGACCTAATTACAGAAGAAAATATACACAATCAAATAAAGATCCTAGAACAGAAATCAAAGAATTTTCTACACATTCCTTACTTTGCATATTCTCCTAATTAATGATAATACGATAATAAGGAAAGAATAATAAATGAGAATGATTCTATTGACATAATGTATTGATTATTTCAACCATGTATTGTCTAAGTATTAATGGCTGAGTGATCAGTTTCAATAAATGGATATATTTGTTAAGCAAAATTAGTTCCCGACAGTAGAAACACTACCTTAGTCTTTCTTTTTACCTTTTGTTCATATAATGTCCTGATTGGGATATCTGTGCTTTTGTTTTATGCAGAAAAAGAAGTCGCTCTATGCATCACCAGATGAACTTCAATGCTTAATCAAGCAGGTGCTTTCATGGGATATTCGATCAGTATCACAACGAAATCAGCAACATGATCTCCTTATTAAGACTGGAAATGGGGAAGCACCATATAGCACTCTTGATTCAGACCACAACGAAGATCAAGAAGCTTTGGACCATGGAAACAACAAGGCTTGTAATCCTTCTGGGGATGTAACATATCACCTGATTTTGGAAGGAATGGATGTGTCATACAGAATTGATTTCCATGGCAATGTAATTGTAGAGGGAGTTGGGGTTTCATCTGACATTATAAATGGTAATCAAAACCGTTGCAATTACCTAATGTGGAGAGATGAGCTCAGGTAAAACATCTTTAAGCATTTTTCTAACAGATCCTGTAGCTGTAATTGTAGTAACTATATATGATGGCTGCTGCTCAATCTCTTTTTAGCTAAGTCAGATTTGAATTGATTTGGTATATTGGATGACCAGCTCCCGTTATGTTCATTATTTCAAGCTGTGTAGATACTATTGTTGATGACTTTGATGCTCGGAAGAGCCCTAGACAAAATTTCTTCTTCTCATTTCAGCAGAAGCCATAAACTAGTTAAAGGCCCCATTTTGTGGTTTCTCTCGACTGCAGCTTATTACGATGGTCCTTTCTGTTTAACTCTGTTATTCTATCTCTGAAGTGAACAGCTTTCGTAGCCAGCCATTTCACACCTTCGTAGCACTTGCCTGAGAAGATGGAACCCATCTCCTATCCGAGCATCTTGAGTATAGAACGGTTCTCTTTCCTTTCTTCTTAGAAGAAGACTTAACGTAACAAAACGTAGTCTATAAATCTTTAAGCAGAAATAAGCTGCAAGAACCATGGGATGATTACACCATTGGTACACTAATTTTACAACTTTTCTCCGGAGAGTATGTGGACTTCAATTTTATTTATTTTCTTATTTATTTTTTTGAGTACATATGAATTTTTCAAAACTTCTAAATAAGTACTCCCATCTATTTTATGTCAATTACTTCTGTATTTAATGATATATTCTTTGACCTTACTTACTATTGATACACCAACTTTTACTTTATCTAAATCGAATATATAAATTTTAATTTTTCTTACTTTGATATAATAATTATTTCGATTGTGCCAATCAATTATTTCTATCACTTTTCATTTTCTAATAATGATAAGTTATTCATTTATTTATTTGATTGTCCAAAAAACATATATGGGCAACCCGATTGAAAAATGGCCAATCCATACAAATACCTAATAAACTATTGTCTATTTTGATTTACTCTCCCAGAATAACATTGAAAAAAAAATTCAATGGTTGAACTATTGTCCATTTGAATTTACACCTCTTTTTTTTTTTTTTTTATAGGTTTTGTTAACAAATATGTTTAAAAAATACGTGAAAATCACATGTATATTAAAAAAAAAAAAAAAGTCAAAATAATTGAGAAATGGAAAAAGGAAATATTAAAAAGCAAAAGAGAGGAAGAAATAATTGGAATAAAAAATGTAATGAAATTGGATACGTAATTACAATTCTTTTTTAATTATTGGTTACATTCTTTAAATTATATATTTATAAAAATATTGTCCCTCCATCACTTCATCAAACAACACTACAAAGTATTACGATCAACTATTGATCAAGTAAATGAACTTCAATTGTTTTCATTTTGAGACACCTACCTTTTCTTGTCTCAATTTGAGTATTTCTATATATATATAAAAAAAAATCTTTTAATTTTTTCTTTTGTTTTGCAATGACATATCCATTTATTTGGTTAAATAATCAATATTTTAATTGTATTAATAGTTTATTTAATATTTTTAATTAATCATAAAATAATTTTAGCCTCGATACAGAATGTAAATAGTTTGTCATTAATTAAAGTGTTTTCTTTTTTAAAGATTTATTTTAATGTAAAATATTTTTATTTATTAAATATAATATTATTTTGAAGGGTATTACTACAAAAAAAAATGACAGCGAAATTTCGATGCCAATGGCTATTTAACAATATTATACAACACTAAAAGAAATTTAATAATTGACATCAAGAATTATAAATGTCCAGTGATCTTGATTAATTTTTAGGATTGATACTAAAAAAATACTAAAAAGCAATCCATAGCACAACGATATACAAAACATGCAAATGGCAAAAAAGCACCCAATAAAAACACCTTTAAAATCAAACATGCAACTAGTCATTTTAGTACTTCACTTAATAGATCTCGCAACAACAACCTCATACAAGGATTGTCATCGTTACTTGACACCTACTGACAATTGTATCATGATTTTAAACCGTAAAATTCTCAAAAGAATGGAGTCTTCATCTCAAAAAATGTTAAATTGTTCCTCAGATATTGTTAACATTCAAATGATTTTATTGATTCATGACTTGAACAGAACATAGTTATTGAAATCAAGGACCTATTTGGATGTGTCAAAGTTTATACAAATTTCGTTTGCTGGAAATAGTACTATTTTGTTCATGGAGATGTTAGTTATAGCTTATCAAAACAAGAGACAAATTTAAATCCTTGAGCATGATTTGACCCACCAATGTGTTCGAGAGGAATGTGATTATTACTTGAAATTATAATTGTTATATGGTGCTCAAAAGTCAGTAAGGATGGGCAAAAATAATTTGAGAGTTGAGTATTTTTTCTGCAACAATTTGCTATTCGGTAAGAATCCTTTTTGTTATTTAGTTGATTGCAATTTTGATTTTACAATGACGAATGTGATTATGAATAATAATTATATATTAATTTAGTAAATGGATGATTGATGGGTATAAAAATTGCATTTATTTTGTCAAAATATGTCATTGTTATGTCGCTTGTTTTTGTTTAGAGTTTAATTAGTTGTTTTGCCCGCGTTATATTGCGGGTTATATAAAATATATAAAATCGTTTAAAAAAAATATATGAAATCAAAGGTAAAAAAAAAATTATTTATAATTTTTTTAATAAAAAATTTTGTATTTAACTATTTCTTATTTGTGTTTTTCATAATTTTTCCTTTAGAAAAAGGATTTATCCTTGTTAATCCATGGGTTATTAGCTAAAAAGAGAATTAAATAAATTTTTTTAGAAAAATTTTTAGTATTTCATAAGATTGTGTCAAAAAACATTAAAAAAAAATTATAAAAGCTTACACGTAATTGAAAAAATAATTTTTTTTATTTAATGTTGATGAGAATATCGATTTTTGAAAACATATGAATTTAATATTTATATATTTATTTAAAAAAGAATGAATAATATTAAAATAAAAAATATATTAATTTGAATCATTAAGCGGTTAAGCTAGAACATTATTTTAATTATTTAATTCAAAAATAAATAAATAAATAGTTAATGCTTAGTATAAAACAAATATTATTATAATATGATCATAATATTAATAACATATAACTATATTCAAAAAATAAAAATTTAAAGTAGTAAATTTTAAATAATTAAAATAATTAAAAGAAAACACTAAAACAAAATGGGATCGAATCACTTTACAATTAAAGTTTGAAATTGAAAAAAAAAGTATAGAAAAATTAAAGACCAAAGTGCTCGAAACATACATGAATAGTGAAAGGAATATTGATATGTGAGTGCGTAAATAGTGTTTCAAATAGTGAAAATGAATAGTAAAAAAATTCATTTACTTTAGTTTTTTTTTATAATAATTTTAGGACTAAAATGTGGTCAACATTGGGAAATTCGAAATACGAGGGTAGAATGGAATATTTTGGAAACTACAAGGGCAAAAATCTTGTTTACCGTATTTATATACACTGGATTAGGCGCGTACGTTATCCAATGGGCCAAAAGTCCACCATTCTCCTCGTGGCCCTTAAATGAGCTTCAACAAAATTTGTTAAACAGCCCACCATGGACCTTTCATTCCACCATCTCCTTTTTTTTTTTTTAGTATAACGGCCCATATTTCCTAATATCTTACTCACTATCTTCATTTATTCTATTTTCATTTCAATTCTTTTTTAATTATTATCTATATTTTCTCTATTTCCAATATATATATATATATATCTTCCTTATTTACTTTATCATCTTGTCTAAATTATTTTTTAACCTTATTTTTGTTATCTTTATACTCTTTGTAAATCTGTTTTAAATGATTCGCTATTTTTTTTTTTTTTTTGGGAAAAAAAACCTTATTCTCCGTGAAAATTGATGCTTCGTGGCTATTAATTTCGTAACGGGCGATTTGAAGCTTGTTTACTGTTGGGGAATATAAAATGACTTTTCTTTCAGAGGAAAGGCTGGTCGCCAAATTGTTGCAAATACAAGGGCGAACATAGATGGTTTTAAAAAATACCTAAGCGTTGTTTTATGTTAGCCAAAAATAAAACAAGGAAGCTCAAAATTCATTGGTCTCGCAGTGGGGCTATGCTTCATACGTAAGACCCTAAGAAATTGCACTCTCCTCTCATTATGATAGCTACTACCTGCCTTCTCCATTCTCTTTATTGCATTCGTTCTCTCTCTCTTTATTGTCTCTAAGACTAATGGCATAGGACCACAACCACAATCACAACCTTTTGGTTTTGATGGTTGGCATCCATCCAATAATCTATATAGCTTTATTATTTTGTCACAAAAATAATTAATCTTTCTTCCTACAAAGGTGAGAAGAAAGATAGCGCTTTTGTCCTTCAGACAACGGTCAAGAGCAAAACTAAATGCAAATAAAATTGGAATAGTCGAAGTCTCTCGACAAAAGGAAGAATAAAAAATTGGAAGAATTATTTTATGAGCATAATTCCAAAGCATAAAAAAAGTCGAGTCTTTGCCAGAAGATGAAGACAATTCAAAAGGCCTCAAAGAATTATATAACGTTGGAACTTTCTTTTGAAGCAGCCTGCTTTGAAATTTCATCTGAGCAAATTTTGGCGGGTCCATTAACTGAATCAACGGTCAAATTCTCTTTTGTTTTTTTTTTTACGAAACTTCAAATTAGCCCCTAATGTATTACCCAATTCTCAGTTGAAACCCATAATAAACCATTTTATGTCTTACACTCCAAACAATTCTTCTTCTTTTTTTTTTTTTTGTAAAAAAAAAAAAACAAAGACGGTATCCCGATAAATTTTATTAAATAAAAAAGAGAACATATAAGGAGGGACAATCTAACTTTAACTCAACAAACAAATTACGGAATAAAAAAACCTAAACCCCTAAAAGCAAAAACATGTTATAAATTGAAATAAAAATGTCTCAACATTTATAATTATAGAAACCAAATGTATTATGTCGAAGAAATAATTTAATCTCTAAACGTAAATTCGAAAAAGAAAGATAAACAATTTTACCTTGAGAAGAATGTACATGATAAGCTAATCTATTTATAATAATATTTTGCTCTCGATACACATGAGAAAGAGAGTGTCTCAAAAAGCAAAGATGAACATCGTCTTACATGATGACTATAGCTTCAAGGTAAGAAGAAAAGCCATAAAAAAGCTTATACTACTTGCTTCAAGTCAGTCTCCACAAAAACATTCCGAACAATTCAAACATTTCTCCATTAATTTGTGTCCTTTTGTCAAATTT